GTTAGGCCTTGGGCCAGCCCAACTCAAACCCAACTAACAAGGAGTCAAGTAAGGCCTTGTTGGGTCTCCAGGTGAGCGCCAAGAACGGGCACTAGGCAAGGCTGGCAGCCGAGCACCAGGAGAGTGTCAGGCAAGGTTGACGCACCAAGTATTGACGTCTGGTCCATGCTAAGGGACCATATGTTAACAGTGACCAAAAGCATAAAGACACCCAGTAATCACCAAATCTATAGAGTTGCTCGTCCAAAGTTTCTAGAATGATTCCTTACTCCAAATAAGCCCTAAAGAATGTAGCTTTATGCGCATGCATGTCCAACGCATGTCCTTTCCATTTTAGGTCAAAAACATGACAGTAAGGGCTTAAAATTGATCATGGAATCAAAAACTACATAGATCCTCAGATCTAGAACATATGACACCAGAATGATCACATGGATCCATAAAGTTGCTAACTTTATGATATATAACCTTCCAATTTTACTCATCATGAGGATATGGGGATAAAATAGCTAGATCTTTACATGTAAAGCCTAAAGATCAGATATTTAGGACTTACAAGAGTCCATAAATGTGTTCAAGGTATATGGGGAGATTTTCACACCAAAACCAATTTCAAGATGTCTTCTTTCTTATTTAAAATACCACCAAAACACATAAGAGCTCAAAGATCACCAACGAAGGCTAGGGTTTCCTCTTAGAGTCTGAAGGAGAGTGAATGAGGTTGGGGGTGGGAGACCCTAGCAATCACATTTCATTAAATAGGGACTCAAACCCTGGATTAGGGTTTTTCATTAAATAGCAGCTACGTCGTGGCGATATATGCGACACCGTGGTGCCAACTTAAAGGCCACGAAAACTCTGGCATTGTCCATGCCGTGGGATTCCATCACCAAGCCATGGCCACCATAAATTCAACTTCAATTTATTAAAATTACTTAAAAGGAACATACCGGAAACTTGGTGTTAAATAGATCTTCGAGGAATATGAGAGACGGTTAACGAGTTTTGATGGAGATGGAGCCTGGAGGCGGAGGTGATTGAAATTTACACATATAATGTATAAAATATTGAATGTAAAAATACAGTATGTATTAGTTTACTATATGTTAAAGGTAAAATTTAAAATTGTTAACGAGATACGCAATAAATTTAATTTATAAGAACTATCTGAATTAAATAAAAAAAAAAAAAAAAAAAAAAACACAAAGTATGCGATTTACACCAAATTACAATAATGATTTATCTAATTTAGGCTAAAAATAGTATCAATAAGTTATAAACTATTTGATTTTTAATGTATAAATATGTTTATATAATAAAGATTAATGTATAGACCAAGTTGTTAAAATCACACATAATCATAAAATTGTACTATGGTACAAACTTACCTAGATAAATAGATTACAGTCATATTTGGATTTTTTTTTTATAATATTAGGATAGGATGGCAAGATCTAATCATAAGATCTTAGGATCGTTACTATTTGTTATTTAAAAAAAATATCTGACATTTTGTTTTATATGAACTAACGAATCAAATATGAACCCTAGAAATCATTTTTGAACTGTTTGTTGTTAAATGATATATTGAAGATGTATATTTCATGTTTTAACTTATTTATTGTTAAACTATTGGTCTTCTTGATGTAAATACAGTTTTTTATGTTTAAATTGTTTTTACAGGATTTTATGATCCTAATTCGATGTTACAATCATAATTCAATTTTATGATCACGATCTTGCAAAATGAAAAACCATATTATATAAGATTTCTTGACAACCTTTGTATAGACATTAAATATTATATTATAAAATAAAATATTAACTGCTTTTTAGAAATGCAAGGACTATTATAGGGCTATTAATTGGATCAACCTAATCGGATTTCAAATCAAACGGATCATGTTAGTCGTTTTTTTATAAAGAAAATTGACCCTAAACCCAACCATATTAAGATAAGGATTAGTAGGGTTTAAACATGAAATAAATTGATGTTTTGCCATTTTAGTAAGGGTAATTGACATAAAAGCCCTCATATTTACGTGAAATGTGTGGTTATGTCCTAAGTCCGTTTTTATGTCATTAATGTCTCATATTTGTTTTTTTTTTCATTTTAACCTAATATCAGTTTTTACACCCTCTTAATCGGTCATCATTGTTATAAAAGCCCTCTTATTTACACATCACCACCATCACCCTCATATACCACCAACAACATTGTCTATTACCACTAGCCACTGTCATCACCACCACCATATGCCACCACCACCACCAATAAAGAAACCATCATTTTCAACATCTCAACACCACCCTTATTCCTACATATCAGCCACCATCGACACCACAAAACATTGGTAGCCCCCATCAACACCATCTCTGACCCACCATCATCATCATCATCCACATGTTATTCTTTCTCTTAGCAACCTACAACTAGACACCATCACAAGAAATCAACACAAACACACACAAACCACCACCACTAGGAAATCGACACAACACACACATACCTACAAAAATCGACACACAAATGTCAACTGTGAAAAAACCTCATCTGGACTGAACATCATCCATTTTCATCTTTTCTTAACCATCATTAACCTATCGAAGCACCATTGCTATCACCTAACTCCACCATTATTTTTTGGAAGCCAACCCTAATGTGATCGATTAAGGGAAAGGAAAGGGAATGATACTTCAACTTTGAAGTCAATTTCTTCTTGAAATTAAAAGAAACACACACAAACCACTATCATCACTAGGAAATCAACACACACAACACATTTTATTCAATACATGCGTGAGGGAGAAAGAAACACAGACACCCACTTAAAAGATCATCATATCTCAGATATCCAAGCCCCAAAATGTTGGAGTTCTTCCGATGGAGGCAACTAGGGTTTCATTTGAGGGGATGGTGTTGAAGGCAAAGAGGGTGTTGAAAATGTTGTCGAAGACAACTATAACGCCTGTGTTCCAGGTAGTTTTATCTTCAGCTCAATTTATTAAAAAGTTTGCAAAATCGGTACCTACCCTAGGCGCATGTGATAGGTACGTTGGGCATATATCATTAAAGGTGATTGTAGGTTTCCTCGAGTACATTGGGCGTACGTGATTGGTATGCTAGGGATACTCATGCAGGTATCAAACCCTAAATTTTAGGGTTTGGACCCTATTTAAACACCTTAAGACCCTCAAGGCATCTCTCATCACCAACCTCTATTGCCCCAAAGCATCATTTCAAAACCCTAGCCACCTTGTGAGGTCCTTGAGCTCTTAGAGTGATTCTTGTATGTTTTGGTTCATTTTGAAGAGAAATAAATTCATTGAAGAGATGTTAAGAAGCTTGGAGCTTCTAGATCCAGACTTGGTTTTCCATTTTGCATCTTCTGAAAGTATACAACTTCAAACCTTATGGCTCTTTAGTGTAGATCTAGTTTTGGGGTATGTTTGGGCATGTTTTGGTCCTATGGCTTGGATCTTGTGAGTAGAAGTTACTCCAAAACATTTAAGCATCATTTCTAGTCATTTATGAGGTCTTTAAGTCATAAAAATCGAATATTATTTGGTATGTTTCTTCCATGCATGAATTATTGGTCATTTAGTGAAGTTATGGACCTATGGATTAGTTTTGGGTCCCATTGAGCCATGCAAAAGCTTAAAGTTGTCAACTTTATCAGTTAAGACCTTCCCAAGATAGAAATATATGAGTTGGACGGTTGATCTTAAAGCATTAAGGGCTTAAAATTGAGTTTTGGGCAACAGTGGAGTACATTGGGCGTACCTTCCGGGTACACAAGGCGTAACGGGATTGGCCCAAATTCCCATTTTGTCGAACCCAGTACGTTGGGCGTAATGGGATAGTACGCATGGCGTACTCACCAAAAGGTCAGTTGGGCCATTTTTGGGCCTTGGGTCATTATGGGTTAGGGCCATGGTTAGTTGGGTCTAGTAGGGGAAAGGTAAAACGGTCATTTAACGTTAGCATAATAGAATATAATATGGACCATTTATTATGGTTATTACCCTGTTTATTAATTAGGGTTAATTTTAGATATATTCAGAGTAAGGAGTCGTGGTAGCAGCAACTCGAGAATGTGATTTGTTTATCATTTGATTGAGGTGAATCTCCTCATTGTACTTGTGGATCGAAGGTATCAATGTTAGCCCACTGAATTATGTTGTAGGATAGTTGTAATCTTCGTGACACTTACTGATATGCTTGTATGTGTTTGTTGTCTTTATGACTCATGCTGGTATGACTATATGCTTAGTTTTAGAGGGTGAAATAGACTCGTACCTGTTATATCGAAGGAATCGAAAGGGACTAAGAGAGTCGAAAGGGACTTAGGGTTGAAATAGACTCGTTACAAGTTTAGGTTTAGTATGATATGTATGTATGATGTATGGTATGTTGTATTTTGGATAACTCCCTAAGCTTTGTGCTTACGGTTGATGTTGAAATATTTTTCAGATACTTCCGGTTCAAAAGGGAAGAGTCTGACATGATCTCACCACATTCACCTGTGTCTAACATTTTATGTTATTTGGATTGTGTTATGATAATTGTTTTTCTACTATGACATACTTGATGGTTTTTGAAAAATATATTTGGTGATTTGGTTGATTTTAAACAAAGGTTTTACAGTTTTACTTAGTGATTTTAGGATGTTACAAAACACTAACGGTGATGGCGGCAGCAACGAAAGGATGTCTCCCTCACACTTCTCTTTTTCATCTACAAACCAAAGGGTTTTTTTAAGATTCTAAATAATGTTACACATAATTTGACAATAATATCAAGCCTCAAACAACACTTGTTCACAAATTGATAAAAAAAAGTCAAAATGATAAAACTTACCTAAATGTAAGGCGTTAATAAACACAATTTTAGACTTGGTATATAACCAACCACACATTTCATGTAAATATGAAGACTTTTATAACAATAACCCTTTTAGTAAAATATAAAATGGTAAAAAAATACAATTTGTGATCACGTTAACATACACACAACACCTAACTAAGAAAAAAAAATGCATACACACCAAAGAAAAAAAAACATACACGCCACGTATTGTACATCTATATACTTTCATGGAATAAATGTTATACATTTTCATATTTGAAAATACTTGGAAGTAATATATTTTAGTGCCAGGGCAAATAAAATATAGTTGGCGTACAATCATATATATAGACATACAGTAAAAGTAGTAATATAAAATTGAGAAAGGTATAGCTTAAGGAGTACAAACTGATAAAGAATTCCCGAAACCCGACTCTATATATGTTTCGGGTTAACCCAAATGACATTTTTAACCCTATTAAAATCATTTAAACCTATAAAGCAAGTCATAATAGCATATAAATAATACAAAAAAAATAAATCAAAAAATATATTTTGATGAAGTTATATGAAGCACAGATGATCTTTAGTTAACCATTGGTCCATCAAAATTCAAAAATCAGAAATAAAGAAAGTGTATAAAATAAATGTCATCCCTTTGATGTTAATCAGAACCCACATCTACCCCTTTGTGCTTCAAGAATTCCTTGGCCTCAATTACATCCTACAGATATGCAAATTTACAATTTAACCCATTTTTACCTTTGTGCATATTTACAAGGACACAAATTTTTTCTGCAACTTTTAAAGGTAAAATACCTGCTGTAACAAGAGTGCCTCCTGAGGACAAGTTGGAAATTGCATCAAACCAACACCAACCATTAACAGACCATAGCATCCTAGTGACACAATCAGATACAGAGGCAGCTGTTTAACAAATGAATCAACAAAAAGTCAATCAAAGCTACGATGATTCCTACACTAAAAATGAAACAAGTATCAAGAACTCGATGAAGAGGAAGAGGAAGAGGCTCACCAACCACGTATAACTCTGTGGAATCATTGCAGTCTGCAATAAGCTAATCCATATAGCAGTTATGGCCACTAACAACGACATAATCTTCACAATATGTTTCATTTTATGTATGCACAAAATCCGTCTCTTCACACTTATAAAATGTAGTCTGTAACATCATAACATAAGATTATACAGAAGCTTTGATTCAAAGAAAAAAAATTGTATAGATGGAATGAACGAACGTATTTCTGATTATCTGATTTGGCTTCTTGAGAGAGGATAGTCACTTTGGAATTGCAGATGCAAACATACCTAAAAAGATAATGCAATCATCCAATTCCAAATGACGGGAAAAAAACACAAATCAATATCGACTCATGCAAGAGAGATTCAAGCAATCAAGCATATACCGGTCTATATTACGAAAACACAAAGTTATAAATTTTAGGGTTTTTGCAATCTGCAGGGATTTGCCAATCGAAGAGATTGGATACAGAATCAATTCCAAGTACAATAACTTTAAACAAAAAAAAAACAAATTAATCAGTTAGGTAACGCCATCAGATGGGATATACAGTTATTCTCAAATGTCCGTTTTACGATACACAAACGGGACTCAAAGCCCTTGCGCAATTTCCCAAACATCATATGGCAATTCAAACTTTATGCATACACATATACGATGAAAAGAGATCCAACAATGTTCAAATCATCGAGAAATTTATGTGGAAAGATAAATCTACAAATAACACAACCTAATCAAATACTGAACTCACACGATCATCTCGATTACCTTGATATGGCAAAACAGAGATGACGATTAAGATTTCTAAGACGGATCGATGTCGACGCCAATTTATTATTGTTCTTTTGAAGTTGACGTCTCCATCTTCGAAGATCAGGAAAGGGTTTGGTCACGTTAGATTTGGCAGACCGCTCTTGTGAGTCTTGAATTGCCGGCGCTTCTGATCACAACTTAGGGTTTCTGGTGCTTATAAGGAAGTGCTTCTCTGACTCTCCACATTTAGACCCTCTGCTTTTGAAATTAATGTTTTTGACACTTGGGAAAACCATAGAAAAACCTTTATGTATCATGTATGAATATTGAGTAAATTACACGAATGATCGTTATGGTTTAAGGTAATTTGTCTGTTTGGTTTTTAATTTATTTTTTTAACTTTGAAGATCCCTACTGTTTATTTTTGTTACGTACTTAGTCCCTGTTTTACCTAAAAAGACTATTTTTCCATTGATTTTTTAATTTATTTAAACAAACACACCCTCAACCATACCCCTCTCACCTTACCTTACATACCCTACAATTTTTTCATATTCAAATCATGGTATTCTTAGGTAAGACATGGACCAAGTGTGTAACAAAAATAAACAGTATGGAGCAACCGCATAACAAAAACAAATAGTATAGACCTTTTGAGTTAAAAAAATAAGTTAGGGACCAAGTGCACAAATTATCCCAAACCATAAGGACCATTCGTGTAATTTACTCATGAATATTTAAAAAAATATTTATATAATTTTTTTTTACAATTTAACCATTATTATTTTTAACTTTTAATGTTTTAATGCATTTAAACAGTCATCCTTAAAGAAGTGGTAACATAAATGGCTTGCATCTCATTTTGTTGCTTCAAAAATAGTGATCTCATTCCTCTTCTTTTTTTAAGTTCGTGTTGCAAAAATGGGGGGTCATCATATGAGATTTTTATAAGATTGTTGTTGTTTCTTTAATTTTTACTCAGATACTTCAAAAAAAAATCGAATCCTTCAAAAGATTATAAATAATTTGTATAGGTAGATGAGGATTTGGGTGCTCAATGGTATAAGAGTAAAGTACATGCGTTGCATGGAAGAATATGGATTTGATCAAGTATATTATGATCCTGTCCAAGAAGAATATGGAACTGGAGAAGGAGAAATGGGTCTGCAAAAGATTAATGAAGCTTGAGGTGATTGACAGAAAATAGATTAATATATTCATGGTTAGGGTGATGTTGTTTGGTATTGTTCTGGTTTGCATCTTCATTTGGTTTATAATTATGTAATATGGAAATATGTTAATGTAAAATCGCTAATTATGTGATAGGGAAGTTAGGTGTATTAAAGAATTAGAAATTAGAATGTGTTTTTTTATTTTTATTTTTTAAGCAATGTGCAAGACCCTACACATTATAACTGTTATAAATTGGTTAAGAAAGGTTTTATTGTCATATTTTTTTATGAAGATAATGTGGTTTTGTGAGTATATAGATTGTTTTAGGTTCTTTGTTATGGTTGTAATGTCATTTTATATCGGGATATAAAAACATTTGGACACTTTTACTCATTCTGGCTCATTTTCTCTATTATCATTGCATTTCTCAAAAGTTATTGTTGTTCCTAATTTAACCAAAAACCTACTCAATGTTTCTCAACTTATACGAGACAATAATGTATATATGGATCACGCTTTGGTGCTTAGGATGACCCTCCGATCTCATAAAACCCAATACTATCCTGATGGATCCACTCGTACACCTAGGGTGTCTATTTGTGGGTGAGGCAAGGTTTCTTTGATGGATTCGGGGATGATGGTGGTGGGGCTTCCCTCTTATGGGATAAGATGGAAATGGATTTTCTGGGGGTAGTGATAACCCTGGGTCCCGGAGCATGAATACTGAGAGAGGATAGAGGAAGTGGGTCAACAGTCTTTGGGGATGACTTTGACTTAGTAGGGCCCTCCTCCTGAGTCTCCTCACATTCCTGGTGGGAAGACGAATCTAGGTAGCGCGAACTATCTGCGGGTACTCCACCCATCTCATCGCCAAGTTGCTCCTCCTTACTGGGTTCTTCCTCATCTTCAAATGGATCCTCGTCAGTTGATATTAGGGTAGGCGGTAGGGGCATCGTCTGATCGTAATCGCTCTTAGTCTTGGGCGTGCGTGACACCACTTAGTCTTCTTCTGGATAAGGATGTGACACCCAGTCCCATATATTCTCCATATCACTTCGATTTCCTGCATAATACATCAAACATGTAGATGTTTATGAAAAAATAATATATAATGATGGGTTTTATAGATAATAATAACTATGTGCTTATGGGATTTCACTTAACATTTAAGAGAACATGCAACCTAAATGATCTATGTATATAACACTTTGAATGTAACATGCCATAAACAAAAATATAACTAGAACCCTAATGACTTTGTAGTATAATAAAATTACAAGAATTGAGAATACATACATTTTGATTTGTTATAGTAAACAAATCAATGAAATCCTTCATAAACAAGCTCTAGAACGCAAGCACCAGAAATCTCATGTCTCTGATGGTTCACACGCAAACCCTAGCAAATTGGAGGCTTAAGAGGAGAGAGCAACATAAAATTTTAGATTGCTCTCTTAGAATGAGGTGAAAAATGAAAATCAAACCCAAGGGGGTTTATATAGGTGATAGGGAGGGCGAATATAAGTTAGATTCCTTCTGGATAACCCTAATCCTTTAGCTTTTCCCATAAGGAATCCAAGCTTCCTTAGAGCCCAAAAATCTCTAGAAAACCTCTAGAGACCTCCGCCTCTATGGGTGGTTATAGAATTGATCAATGTTCAACTTTTGAACATTATCACCTTCAATCCTTCCACTTTTAACTAATCCAAAAATTAATTCCAATTAATTTCCGATTAATTATATACATATATTAAAACCTAACACACCTGTAAACAATAAGCTTCAAAAGTTTTGGACTTTCACCACGTTACTTTGTACATATTCACTTTTTCATCCTTATATTTTTCACCATCTTAGTTTTATGATCTCAGATCCCACCGCAATTGTTTTTCAAATCATTTGGACTCCTTTCTTTCTCCATTCCCAACATTGGTTTTAGTTTTCTGACGACTTCTCATCCAATAATTTAGGATTTCGATTTCTGTCGCCAACAACCGTACGCACTCTATCGCCGCCACCGATCGTCCGCCAACAATTTTTAATTAAACAATATTATTTCCAATTAATATATTATTTTCATAATATATTAATAAATTATTTATTTTTATTTTTAATTACTTTATTAATCATATAATAATTAATAAATTAATTTCTCACTCACTCTCTCTCTCTCTCTAAAGCATTCCAGTCAATTATTAGGTTTGACGGCAATAAAAAAAAAGACTTTGCTATTAATTCAAGTATATATCAATTTAGTTATATGCTTGGACACCTAATCCAACAAATAATACATATAATTTCCTATTATCGTGTGTGTGTGTATATACACA